CCATGAGGTTTTTATCCTTGGTTTTGTTAATGTGGATGCTTACCAAAATCTTAGGAGAACTTTTGCAGCCATGTTTATTACGGAGATGGGCCTGTAGTTCTCTTTTTTGGTTGCATCTTTCTCTAGTTTTGGTGTCAGGGTAATGCTTGCTTCCAAGAATGAGTTTGGGAGTACTGCTTCTTTTTCTTTTTAATTAAAGAATTTGAGGAGTAGTGGCATTAGATCTCTAAATTTCTTGTAGAAATTCAACAGTAAACCTGTCGGGACTTTTGTTTGTTGGTAGTTTTTTTAATTCTTTAACTTCATTTAGTAATGTAGGGTTATTTAGGATTTTATAGTTCCTTGATTCAGCTTTGGTAATTCACGTGTGTGAAGGAATTTGCTAATTTTTTCTGCATTTTCCATTTTCCAATTTATCAGAGTATAGATCTCAAAGTACGTATTGATAACCTTCTGGATTTCTTCAGAATCCATTGTGATTTTACCTTTTTCATGCCTAACTGCATGGAGTGGAGCCTTCTCTTTCCTTTTTTGTTGATAACATTGGCTATCTTTCCTTAACCTTTCAGAGAACCAACTTTTCAATTCATTGATTCTTTTACCATTTTCTTAGTCTCTCTCGCATTAATTTATGCTCTAGTCCTTATAATTTCCTCCCTTGTGTGTGCTTTGGGTTTAACTCCCTCTTCTTTCTCTAGAACATTAGGTTATCTATTTGAATTTGCTGTGTTTTCTGATACAGGAATGCACTACTATAAATTTGTCTTTAATGATTGCTTTCATTGTGTCCCATAAGTTCCAGTATGTTGCACTGACATTATCATTTAATTGTAGAAACTAACTTCTTCTGTGATGCATTGCTTGTTCAGAAGGTTGATATTTGATTTCCATGTGTTTACACATTTATTGTGGTTCCTTTTGATGTTAATTGCCAACTTTATTGCATTATGATCTGATAATATGCGTGGAATAATTTCAGTTTCTTTGCATTCACTTAAGCATGTTCTGTGGTGTATTTTGAAAGCCCATTGTACAGCTGAGAAGAACGTGTATTTTGTTGTGGTGTGGAATATTCTGAGTCCATTTGTCCACAGGTTTGGTTCTGTTCTGATATTTCTTTGCTGATTTTTTGTCTGGCTGATCTGTCTATATGTGAGGTGATTTATTAAGGGCTCCATTACAATTCCGTTAGTGCCTACCTGACTTCTTGTTTTATGTAGTTTGGTGTGCTGGTATTTGATGAATATATATTTATGATTGTTATCTCTTCCTCTTGAATTGTTTCTTTAACAAGTATGTAGTGACCTGCTTTGTCTCTTCAGATTAGTTTTGGCTTGAAATCCACTTTCAGCCCAAAACCTCTGCTTTTTCCTAAGTTCCTATTGCGTGAAGTTCTGTTTTCCATCCTTTACCTTTCAGTGTATTCGTATCCTTTTGAGTCAAATATATTTCTTGCATGCAGAATAATACTGAATCTTGTTTCTTAATCAGTCTGCCAACATATTTCTTTTGATTGGTGCATTGAAACCACTAACACTGATGGTTATAACCTGTATATGTACATATATATATATGTATATATCTGTTATATATATATCTGTTATATATGATATATATATATGAAAGAGAGACATCACTGTCATATTATTTTTCTATGGTTGGTTCTCTTACTTTTCCCTATTTAATTGGTTGTCTTGCTTGCTGGATTCACTATACTGGGATTCATAGAATTGTTCAGAAATTTTGGAGTGCAGGATTGATGCCAAGAATTAAGTGTTCTTTATCGTGGAAGCATCTTATTTCTTTATACATTTTGAAAGGTAATTTTGTAGGGTACATCAATCTATGTGGGAAGCTGTTTTCCTTTAGGGGTTGAAATGCTTGACTCCGGCGCTCCGTGACTTAAGGGTCTGTGTGGAGAAGTGAGTCAGCTGTGACACAGATGGATTTGACTCAACTGCTGTGATTCAGATGGGTTTTCCTTTCTAGGTGACTCATTTCTATTCTCTAACAGCTTTTAATACTCTGCTCTTATGTCGAATTTTGGAATCATGACTATTATATCCCTCGGTGTGGTTTTATTGTGGTCATGGCTAATGAAGTCCTGTATGACTCACTTATCTGTACATTCAGTTCTTTTTTCCATATTTGGAAAGTTTTTCTGCCATTGCTTCTAAGAACTTGTTTTTTGTTTAATGTCCTTTGTACTATCTTCTGATTGATTCCATTCACTCTTACGTTATTCTTTACACAATCTAGCAGTTATTGCATTGTTTTTACATGGTCCCTTGCTATTTTAAAGAAGTTTTTCATTTGCTGATCAATAATTATAAGCCTTCTTGATCTGAAGACGGCTGTCCTCATCTCATATTGGTTAATTCTCCTGAATATATTTTACATACAATTTGAATTGATTTCATGGAATTAATTTCTTTCCTATGTTGGGCATGTCACATGACTATCACTTTCCTGCACTTCTCTACTTTTTAATCTGTATTTATTCTAGGTTCACTCACCATGTCCTTCATTATGTCATCACCTCTGTAGCAATCCGTGAAATTATCTTGGATTTTTTCTAGTGCCTCATATCTGCTTCTGTACTTCCACTGCTAACATTTCAGAAAGTCCAGCTGGGTGGCTTTTGATTTATTTCACTTCTCTGCCCTCTGGATTTGTCCTGGGTGAGCTGGACAATTTTGCTTTCATGTCCTCTGATTTTATTCATTTTAATATTTGTTTTTTGCATTGATGTTTGAAAGTTGCTTACGGTAGGTAGCTTTCTTGCTAGCATTGAGACCTCCTTAGGAAATGGCTACATTTCAGAGGTACCTTTCATGTGTATTGCCTTTTGGCTATTGAGTTTGCCCCCAGATCCTGCCTCTTCATTGTATTATGGATGAGAAGTTGCTGCTTATCTGACTGGAACACAGGTTTTTATATATACTGGACTATGGTATTGTTTATGACCACCAGACGATCTTGGTATTGTTATACAAGAAAGCACAACTGACCAGAACAACTATGTCACCTTAGCTGAAGCAGTACAATGAGAAATAACAGTAGTACCCAGTACAGTCTAGAAAATGACAAACTGTGGTAAGTGTTAATTTTCCACCTTAAATATGTATGCAACATTTACAGTCGTATATAAAAAACTAAAATAAATCAGAAAATTATACACAGTAAATATCTCAACAGAGCAAGTTTACCCTCAGGGGAGGGCATTTAAAACTCTTAAGAGCAAAAAATATAGAAAAAAGGAGAAATAAAGTAGAAGCAAGACTGAGGGATAAAATAACATTATCTGAGCTTTGGGAAACTGATGGAGACAGGAGGAGAAGAAAGAGAAAAAAGGCAAAAAAAAAAAAAAAAAACCCTAAAAACAATGATTGTACTCATGAAAAACCAGAAGCCAACAATCAGAAAAATACATCAAAATCAAAGAAAAGAAGACAGATTTCTCTGTGATTTTCTCTGTGATTTCAAGCTATCATTATTTTCTGGGGTGTACGGTTTGGTGGTGGTGTCTGGTTTAGGGTGCGTCTCGGCTCTCTCTGGTAGACAAAAAAGGCAGACAGAGTCCAGCTCTGTCCTGGGAGATCCCAGCAAGCCTGAACAGGAATAGGGTGGGTGCTCATCCTGACAGAAATTTCAGCCTCACAGAAATGCAGGCTGACCCTGGCCTCTTGCTGTGGGGTCAGGGCCTGAGCTATTGCGCCTTGGTGTCTCTGGATATCTTGCTGCTGGCCTGACCTCAGCTCCTTGACCGTGGAAATCTCTCATGATTGTGCCTCACTCAGTCACTGGGAACTCTTAGAGGGAGCAAAGCCAAGGCTGCTTTGAGTCCCAGGGTCAGCCCTCTTAAATGAGGTCCGGCCAAGCTCTCTCTCCAGGGGACACTTAGACTGGAGTCAGCCACCAGCTGATGTAGTTCACTGCACCCAGCGCTCCATTCCACCGGGAAGGCCTCTGGAGTCACCCACTGTGGAGGACTCTGGGGTCACCTGTCTTTGCTGTATCTGTAGATTTGAGCCTCTTTTCTCATGTTGTGATGTGGGAGTCGGGGAGAGAGTGCAGTTCATCACCTCCTCTTCCTGCAATGGAGGTCAGTCTCTTCATTTTTCCCATGGGCTCTGCTTTTTCTTTCAAATCCTTCCTGGACCCCAGGAAGCAACCTCCCTCCTTTCTTTCTTCCTCAGATTATTATATTCCAGTGTCTGGATTCTGACTCTCAGAAAGGGTGACCCATTGCTACTTTAAGCTCCTGCTATCTTCCCAGAAGTCTCTACACAAATTCTGTGAGCTCAGCATCGCGCGGTGCACATACATGTAAGACCATTTGGTGTTTGTTTTTCTGGGCCTAATGTGTTTTACTTAACACAGTGTTGTCCATGTTTATCCATATTGTGCACGTGACAGGATTTCACCATTGTGTATGATTGAATAGTATTCTGCCAGGGACATGCTATGTATTCTTAACGAGTTTGTTCACTGATGGACATTATTTGTTGATAACATATCGTGGCCACCATACATAGTGGTGCAATAACTCTTGTATGTCTCTTCGACTTTCTGATTTCATTCCATTTGGATGTGTGCCCAGAAATAGGATTGCTGGATCCAGTGGTAGCTTTGTCTTTAATATTTGGAAAAACATAATAATGTTTTTCTCACAGAAAATATTAACTTAATTTCCAAAATAGTGTATAACCATTCTTCTTTCTCTACCTCCTTGTCAACATTCATTTTTAAATCTTTTTGTTGGTAGCCATTCTAGTTATAGTGCTCTGTGGGCCTCAGTTTTGTTTCCTTGATGGGTTAGTGATACCAGACATTTTTTTGTGTACCCATTAACCATATATGTCTTCTCTTTAAAAATGCCTGTTTTTAACCGATTTTAAAATTTGATTATTTGAGTTTTGCCAGTTATTTTTGTTCCTTTATAAATTCTTCGTATTTGACCTTTATACGTTTACAATTATTTTCTTTTGTTCTTATAGGGTTTCTCTACATCCTCGTTTATATAGAGACTCCCCATAACTTCATGGAAACTTCTAGAACAAATAAAATTTCACTAAACTTGAAGAATTCAAAATCAACATATACACCAGATGTGGTGGTGCACACATGTAATCCCGACACTTGGGAGGCTGAGGCAGGATGAGTGTCATGCGTACAAGACCAGCCCGGGATACACAGTGAGTTTGAGGCCAGCCTGAACTACACAGCAAGACTCAGTCTCAAAAAACTGGAAAAACAATCAATGTGTAAAAATTAGTGGTGTAACTATGTGTAAATAGCAGTAGTTGAAAAAGATTTTTTTAAAAAAATCTGTCTTAATAGCTGTAAAAATACCTCGGAGCATGTTTTAACAAGGAGCTGAATAAGCTCTACAATTCAGATAATAAAATGCTGGTTAATGAAACTGAAGATGATCCGAGCAAACGGAAAGACATCAGGATTCCTGCTTTAGAAGTGGTGTTGTTGAAAATGTCCTTTCTGCCTTGAGTGACCTATAGATTCCATGCAGTCCTTATCTAAGCTCTAATGTTATTCTTCATAGAAACAGAAGAATAACCATAAAATTTGTATGTATGTACAGACTCCCTGAATATCCAAAAGAAATCCTGAGCAAAATGAACAAGCCTGGAAGCATCCCACCCCCTGACCTGTAGCTCCTTCAAAGCTGTGGTGACCGGAGCAGCGCTGCGGGTGTAAACACAGACCGCATAGCCTGCGGCACAAGGCGGGCCTGGAGCGCTCCGGTGCCCGAGGCAGGACGATCCCGCGAGCCTGAGGTCAGCGTGGGCTACACCGCGACTTCAGTGCCAGCCTGAGCTACATAGCAAGACCCTGGGTGCAAAAACCCACACGACAGCAACACTAAGAAACCCACACAAAAGAGAAACAACACCTATAAAATACCTATTTCACAACTACAAATAAGCCATATTTTGCATTACAAAGACGTGTACATCAGAATAGACTCAAATGTACGACACTGATTGCAAACTTTTCTCATGCTGTCATAAAATTTTGATTTCAGGCAGTGTGCTGTACCCCACTGTGTCAGAAAAATCAGGCATTATCAGGCACTTCAGGCAAAATCAGGCATTATCAACGTTACTATTTTTGGCTCCGGAGAATGCATCCCTTCTCTTTCCTACAGACATTGAACACCTCTCGCAGTTTAGTTTTTGTTTGTTTGTTTGTTTAGCAAGCTCCGGTGAGGCTGTATTTTTGTCTGACGTCGATTGCTTCACCCCCGGCACCGAGGTCGCGGCTCCCGCGTCGCGCTGTGACTCCTCCTCGGCACATGGTCCCCTGTCACTCGAGGCGCTCTTAGGCCCAGGAGGGCAGACGAGGGCCACGCCCTCTGTAGGTGCTGGGGACGTAATGGCAAAAGCAGAAATAAAAACTGCTGGCCACAGGAAGCTCGCGGGAGCACTCGTGCGTGTCTGTACCCAGATGGTGCCAGAAAAGATAAAAAACACGCATGCTCCGAGGAAATCAGTGCTTTGTGGGCGCAGAGAAAGGGGAGCAGAGGTGGTCGGTGGGTATAATGAGGGGTCCGTGGGTGCCAAGGCCCTGGGAGAGCCAGGAGAAACTCTCTGATGCAAATTACCCTGACCTTTGAGCCTCTGGCATAGGTGCAAGCCACCTCTGCCTCAGTTCTAGGAGTTCTCTGTCAGTCCTTTTCACCTTTGTTTCATCTTTTCTTTTTCTATTGCTCATCTTTACTTAGGCATTTGAATTGTAATATAGAAAGAATTCCACACACTAGAACCTAAAACCTGTTATTTCTGCGAGCCTCAGCTTGTTCATCTGTGAAATGGGGATTCCAAACTGTCCATTTTGTGTTGCTATAGCAATACTACAGGCTTGGAAATTCATATGGAAGAGAGACATTTTCCCACAGTGCTGGACCCCATCTGCTGAAAGCCCAGAGCCGCACTCCTTTGTCTGAGGACCCCGGGCCAGCGGACCCCCTGGCCTCCAGGTGGAGAGGACCCCTTAGGGCCTCCAGGGAGGCAGCTGCTCCCGCCCTGCCTTCGGGAAAGAGCCCCCAGCAAGGGCGGGGGGGGGGCAGCTGGAAGAGGGGCGCGGTGAGAGGGGCAGACAAAGCAGGGGGGCGGGCAGGGGAGGGGGCAAAGACGGGACGGGGCGGGGCAGCATCGAGCTTGGCCACCTCGCCCCGCGCTGGCCCGGGCGGCACCTCGCAGCCTCTTTGCGCACCGCCCGGAGCGTGGGCGGGAGGCCGGATGGGGGCTGAGCCTGACCACCCCCTTCCCGGGCTGCGTGGCACAGGGCGCCCCCACTTCCTGCCGCCCACCCCACCCTGTGGCCTTGGCGCCTTCCGAAGGCTGCTGCTGTTTTTTTTTTTTTTTTTGGTGGTGGTGGTGTGGGGCTGGAGGGGCGGGTACCAGGAGTCAAACTCGGGACCTTGCGCTTGCCCGACGGGTGCTTGTACCGCTCAGCTAAATCCCCGGCCACACACGGTTTATGTTTTCATCACAAACCCCATTAAAACCTTTACTGACTTTAATAAGGTCCTGGAGTCAGGAAGCATGATGTCAGGGTCTGGAGGGCCGGTGAAGCAGCGCACCTCCGAGGGATGCTGTCTGTGAAGCATCAGCAGGGACCTGAGGAGCCTGCGGGCACCCAGGGGCTCTGGGTTGCCTGTGGAACAGGGCTTTTTTTTGTTTGTTTGTTTCAGATTAGAGGCACACACGACCTGTGCCTCACAGGGCCAGGGAGGCCTCATTACCAGACACCATGTAAAGGTTTTAGAGATTCCTGTGACCCAGATCTGCATGCCTAGGGGCGACTAAACTCTTAACCAGCCCCCACCCAGTCTGCAGAGAGCCATGGCCTGCCTTTGTTTCCAGAGTTATCTGAACACAGCCATATTTTTCTCCCCGCCTGATGAAAGAGTTATCTCTTAATTTCCATTTTGAATAATGCTATTAATTCAAGCATCTATTAGGTTTGTACTTTCTCACGAGGTCCCACAACTTCTATGAATTACACATTGTCTTAAAAATAGATGATGCTCATTCTCTTCTTTTCAAAGCCAGAGGAAAAGTGGTCCTTGTGATCCTAAGGCCAGAGAGACCAGCAGCCCTGCCCAAACCCACCAACCCAGGTCGTTTCATCCTTTGGTTTGCTCATCCATCACCCCCTGCCGAGCTTCTGTGCAGGGTCCTTGTGGAATCCTTAAGGAAGCACATTGTGTAACAACCCCTAGCCAAATAGCGGGACAGGAGAAAAAAGGCTCCAAGTTATTCTGCTGACTTATCCCGAATTATTATCACCAACCAAGGCAGTCATTCATGCCAACACTTTCTAAGCCTGCAATGGGAGAAACCCTAACAGAGGAACCTCGAGGGATGAAGCTGGGTTACTCCCGGAGACGCTGCAGCACACTGAGCACAACCAGCCAGGAGACGTGGGGTAGAGACCTGTGGGGCTGCCAGCACTGGTTCTGAGTTTGTGAAAACTGGTTTTCAGTCCCAACATCACTGGTTACAGGACCTTAAGAAATTTATTGAGCTCTTGTAAGCCCCAGTGGTGCTGGTAATAAAGGAACATAGTTCATCTATTTTATTTCTTTATTGAGACACAATATTTGTGTTGCATTATGAATAAAGAACAGGGATTGGATATGTGAAGACGTGAAATGATCAAATCAGTGTAACAAGCACTTTCATCTCCTCACCATGATATATTTGTACTAGAAACTTTGAACTCTTGTAGTTATTGTTAACTATATCACAACTTGCTGTCACCAAGGGTTACAAGCACCTGCCATGCTACAGAAAATCAGAACAAATTCCTAACTGTGTTTTATTTCCTTTCACTTAACTTCATTCCAATCATCCTCCCAGCTTCCCTTCTAAGTTCCTGAGGGATTACTACTGTTGCATTCTGTCTGGGTCAGCATTTTAGTTTCCACAGAGGACTGATGGCATCTGGCATTTGTCTGTGTGCATTTCATTTATTTCAATCACCTTCTTTTACACTCATCTTGTTGAAAAGAACCATCTAACATTTATGGTGAAATGATATTCCATTGTGAATATATAGGAACTTTTTATTTTCTATTAATCTTGAAGAATTTTTGAGAAAACTGAATGAGATGTGGGATGAAATTTACCATTTGTCTTACTGTGCTTTATGTAGAAATAAGAGGCTACTGGACAGTGGGTCATACATGAAGAGTGTTCTCGGTTCAGAGTTCTGGTGCAGGTTAAGTCCAAGCAGCAAGGCTCCGGTATCTACCGATTCATCCACCACTCAGTTGCCTCGCAGCATGGAACAGAAGGGAAACAGAAAGGGCTGAGAGGGGTGAGCATGGGACTAGCCTTGCTTTATGATAATCACCCTGGAGAGAACTGACTTAATCCCCTGAGGACTACAAGCCTCTGTTCTGATGGGACAGACACCTGGTCCAACCCATTTCCAGGAGGACCCACCTCCTACAGGTTCCATCGGGGCAACAGCACCACACTGTGTACCAAAGTTCCAGAACTTGGAATCCAGCCAATTGCAGTATGAAACTATTTAAAAAGAAATTTGAGTCTGTACTGAATCTGTACTGACTTTTTGTTGTCATTATTCTGTAAGCAATATAAAAAGGCTACTACTTACAATTATATTAGGTATTATAAATTATATAAAGTGTATGGTAACATGTGCATATGTTACATGGAAATGAGACATCGTTTTACATAAGAGACTTGAGAAAGCCTGGATGTTGATCTCACTGGAGGTTATATAATCAGTCTCTTAAAGATACTGAGGAAAGACTGTACAAGTGACAAACAAGGTACATATGGTGGTTCAAAGCCACCAGCCATTAGACCACAATGAAGTGTCGCTACACTTACCAGTACAGTTAGCATAAAAAAAATGAAGACATCTATCAAATGCTCACTGGGATTTGGAGAAACTAAATCTCTCATGTACTACTGGCAGAAAATTATAATGTTACACTCTAGAGAACTAGAGTTTTACCATTTTTACAATAAATAATAATAATAAATAGGTATATGCTTACCAGAAGCATATACCTATGAAATATAGCATATGTCTATTAGAATGTACACAAATATGGCAACTATGTAGTAGCTCAAAACTGGGGACAACAGAAATATTCTTCCTAGGTAAGCACTTTAGCTGTGTTAAGAAGGGATGAGTTATTGTTACACACAACGATGTGGACATGTTGAGAGTAGCGTACTGAGTGAAAAATGCGTCTGAAAGGTACGAGTCCATTTATTCAGCTCTCTCCAAACGAGGAAAACAGCGATGGAGAGCAGAGTGGTGATGCTGGAAACCAGGGAGGGTGAGGCAGGTGCGCCGTGACTGTAAAGGGAGCGGGGGAGAAACGCTTGCTCTGTGGGACGGTTCTGTGTGGCGGGAAGGTGCTGGGCGCTGACTGCAGTGATGGCCACAGAGTCCACCTGTGTGATAAATGACCCTGAACTAGACATCCGTGTGCTGCCGATGGCCTTGTCCTGGGTATCGAGCCTCGGTCACATACGATGGAAACATCAGGAATAAGTGAGTGCTGCACAGTCTGCCCTGGCCAGTTGTTGCATCTTCTGTCAGCCTGCACTTATCTCAGAACGAAATGTTTTTAAGGGCGTCTCACACCAGCTAGGTGAGCTGGTGTTCATATCTCCCAGCCTAAGCTCTGTTTCAGGGGAAGATTCTGAACCACTGTGGAGTACATTCTAGGAAGTCCCCTAAGTTAAGTTTGTACTTTTCTCATTGTTCCTAGTGGACAGGATCCAGTGTCTCTGCTAACCAGGATTCTGAAGATGAATTCACTCCGAGAAAGTAGCAGCAGCGTAGAAAGTGAGCCTCAGCACAGGTGAGCTGGCAGCTTGCAGAGCCTGGGCATCCACAGGGAGAAAGCACCTCCTGAGTGCCCAGGATGGTCTCATTAGTACATCAAGCACTCCGGGAGGAGGATAATGAAGGAGGCTACCCATAGACATCATGGCTAAAACAACAAAACACAGGCAGGAATCACGTTCAGACTCTACAGAGATTAAAGGACCGATTACCAGGCTAGTGGTATTGTGTAGCTCCCTTCATGAAATGTGTAATGGAACACATCGTGAAATTTGGAAAAAACAAAATGCTTCTTTTCAGGAACCGCTGTCTTCGGCCTCAAAGATGGATCCACACTGGCTTCCTTTCCTTTCTCATAATAAAAAAAGATAGTCCTTTACCCTTAAACACACTTTTGTCCTGTACCTTTTCCAGACTAGAGTAAGAGAAAGCCAGAAAGGCTTGTGATTGATGGGTCTAGCAGAGGATTCTTCCGCGTTAGACCCTCCTGATTGGCATCCTTAAAGTTCTCTATTCAGAACTGAGTTCTTCAAAGTATCCAGCAGAGGGACCCTGCTCTCACTTGTAAATTTCTCCCAGGGTATTTAATCTCCAAGTTTCTGTTCTTTGGCCCTTCATGATGAGGACAGGGAACTGAGGTGGGCTATACTTTATCCAGGAACAATGGGTGGTGGGTAGGTGTGGGATTCATAGAGGGGCAACCCTGAAGGCTGGGACCATGGAAAGGCAGCTGCCGAGGTCAGATAGGAAGCAATGCCCACGGAGATGGAGAAAAAGAAAAACACTCATTATCCAAAGTGATGGTGCTGCATGGCCTGACAGCCGGCTAGATGGGAAGAACATTCCCAGTTTTCAAGGCAGGCTGCTGAGAAACAGAGCAGATCCAAGATGAAGAGTGCAGGATCCAAATCTTTGAATAGCTGGCATGCAGAAGAGCCTCTCCATCTCTGCTCTCTCCTTATAATGAACACTACATGTTAATAACTATTCCCAGGGTGAGTGCCTCTAACTTAAAATCTGAAATGCTCCAAAATTTGAAACTTCTGAGCACTGACATAATGCTAGCAAGATAAAATTCCACACATGACCTCATCTCATAGGTTGCAGGCCAAAAAGTCCATGAAATACCCTAGAACATCCCTCCAGGTTATGTGTATGTGAAATATAACAGACCTTCATGGCTCACCTTGTTCCTCATCCCCAGCATAGCAACATTACTTATATCAAATATTGAAAAAATGTTTAAAAACTCCCTGAAGTCTTAATCACTTATGTTCCCAAGCATTTCTGGTGTGGGATAATGAGAAAATCATAATGTAATGTTAAATATGATATGATATAGGATATTTACGTTAACTATAAGAATTGGGGGTTTCTGCAGTTGTAAGTAGTGTCAATTTCGGAATAACAAGGAGCAGTGTCTGTGGACAGGGTGCTGTATCTGAATCCTCTCATCGTTTTAAAGAGGACATCACACATGGCTGAAGTCTAGGAGAAGGTGTTTAGAAATAGAAAGATGGAAAAATGATTGATTAGTCTAGCGAAGAGGGAAGACAATGGCAGGAAATGAAGCTAGTTCTCTAGGACTCTGTAGAAAGTGGTGAATTATCTATGGTTGAGTCTTCCTTGACAGGTCATCACTAGAGGGTTTTAAACACAGAAAATGCATGATCTTATTATGATACAAGAGTCTTTAAATGATAAATTGGGCTCTTTGAAAGATGGATAATAAGCCTCGATAGAAGAATAAGGGCCAATTAGGGGATAATAGCAGTGTTACACTCAAGAAATGTTAGTGGCTTAGCAAGATTGTTACTTTAGTCTTCTGAAGATGAAATTCGGCAATTTTGTATCACAGAATAGGAGCAGTGCCTCTCATCTGTCATCCATAAAGTTTAGTGGGATGTTATATGTGAGATCTGATTTGCTATCTCTTTTTTGCAGAGTTATAAATGGAAAGATTACGCTACCTAATAGTTTCTTCGTACTCTGCATATAGTTTTTGGCTGCATAATGCTGTAATTTCTTGTATACTGTGTAACAAAAAAGCAAAGATATGTTTAATAAATATTGTACTTTTTGGAAGTAATAGCAAATTGTATGGTGATAAGAATTGTTTTGTATTTAGGGTTACAAGGAACTAGAGCCTGGCATTAGACAAAAAAAGTCCCTTGTATGTGCAGCCAGGGAACAGTAACCATACTGATAGTGCAGTATCCAGCATCTGCTTCCTAGCTGATAGGCCTGATAAATGACCACAGGACACTCACTTCTGTGCTCTCTACAGATTTAACCAACTTTAAGGGTTCAAGATGTTCAAATTGTATGGAAAACAAGTCTAGAATGCATGCTCCTAGCTCATCATCTGACATCTTCTCTAAACACCTTTGAAATGGCTTCACTGGTTGACACTATTAATTCCCCTGTGGTAGAGGTGGAGAGCATACCACACCTGGCAAGCGGTCGGAGCATATATGCTAATGTCTCCATTTCTGAGTCAAGGTGTCAGCCATTTCATCCTTCACCATGGTATCACCCACGTCAGAAGAAAGTTGAAACATTAAAGTCAAACATAGGAAGCTGGCGGCTGGGGATATATTTCAGTGGTCGTGTGCTTGCCTGACATGTGTCAGGGTCTAAGATCCTCCCCAGAACCATAGCATAAGGCAGGAAATTTTACTGCACTGAGTTTATACATTAAGTCCCTGAAAATTAACTGAAACACAAATGCTGGATGGGAATGATGAGAGAAACACTGACACTCTTGCAAAATTCTTCCATGTGTGAAAATTTTATTAAATAGAACTGTCAGAGTCCTAGGGTTTGTTTTATCTTATTGTGAGAAACAAAAAATATTGTGCCTAAACTGGCATTTTAAAGTAGCAGAGGTCAATTATTTCCTTAACTGAAGTAGCAATCAAAGCTTTTATGATAAAGCTACTTAAGATACAGGTGTTAGCAACATATTTTACTGTGGAGTCTTGAAAGAGTAAATTTAAGTTTAAAATAAGTCACACAATATAAGTTTATTATTTTTCACTGAACAGCCAATTGAAATACATGATACAAAATAGGTGATAAGATTGTTGCAAAATGAAATGGACAGAATAAATATTGCATTTAATTTTCCATTTATAAGAATTTCACCATAAAATCAGTTTACTTTGAAAGAACATTATTGCAGTAGAAACAAGAAACATGTATATTTTCCACTAAATCAATGAATCAACTGTAGGCACATCATAATAATGGCTTATGCATTTATGTAATAATCAGTGAACTGAGCATTGCTAATATGAAAATCCTGAATAGTAGATGCTCCAAAATCCAATACTCTTTGAATATCACTGATACAATCCAAATGGGAAACACCATACACCTAGTCTTTGTTTTATGTAAAAAATTATCAAGAAATTTTTGTGCAAAAGTTATTTTCGGGATATTATTATCAGATGTATAAGAAACATGAGAGAATTCTGTGTTTACACTAAGGGTTCCAATCTCAGTTACTTCACTGTGGATGTGGAAGTATCTAAAATTCCAAAAACTATTTGAATCTGAAATCCATAATGTGCTACCTAGCTCTGAAATTGTGAGCCAAAATAAACCATTCCCTTATTAAAGTATGTATTTAAAGTATTTCAGAGTGATGGAAAGCTGCCTAACACAGTGGTCAAAGGACTGGAAAGCTCTGGGTTTTGAGATGAACGCCCAGCTCAGTACTGTGAGGACTCACAGCTGTCAACACCTGAGGATCCTTTGAAAATGAGAAGGGAACCAAGAGTTGAAGGGAAGTAAAAAGAATTAAGATGCGTTAATCACATGTACCAGCTCCCACCCTCCCCTTGATGAATGTAATCACTACGTACTACAAAGTGTACTAATGAAAAAGATTTAAATTTTAAAAAATGAGAAAGCACATACTCCCCAACAGGTTTTCAGTTGCAAAAAGCACAGTCCCTACCCCACAGACCAGATTCCTGCTGTTCACCAAAGTCGCTTCTCCACACACACGTCTCTGTGGAGGATGCAGCTGTCTGCACTCGTCCTTGGTGAAGTGCCAACAACATCCTCAAGTGTTACTGGTTCCTAAAACAGAAGCATCATTAATCATTTATTAGCCAGAAATTGTCCATGACCTAGAGAGTGAAGCTGGTAGTCACAGGAACGGCAGAGGAAGTATTTTTTGATAGTGCTCAGATTTTGCAGTTATCCAAAACAGAAGCACGTGAGTGGGATCTCCAAATTCTTGTAAATGTACTAATTTCACCCATGTGTCTTTCCTGTCTTTCTTTTTATCCTCTCATGGATGTTTTGATATCCTCCAGGCATCCACACTCACAAATGAACACTACTTTTACTTAACCTTCAAACCGTCCTCACTTGGAAAGCTTGCCTGCATTACTTTTTTCTTTGCTGAGACACACTGTCCGACACCAAAAGTTAGACATGGGAAGGTTTATTTCAGCTCACAGTTTGTACAGGTTTCAGTCCATAGTCAGCTGACCTCAGGGCAGGGGCGCATGCTCCAGAGACAGCACAGAGGAGAAGCAGCTCATGGAAGGCAGAAGGCAGCCAAGTGGCACAGCGGCAGCAGCGGCCTGCCTTCTTCTGTCCCCTTCTGGGCCTTTGGGTTAGGGCCACTTACCTCCCATTACCACACCCAGAGCTACACCAGACCAATCAATGCATCAGGTCAGCGGACTAACTTAGTAATCATGCACCCTTAATTCTAGCATCACACATCTGAGTGCCAGTGTCAAATGCCTATAGTGAGCTACCTGCCAAAACTTCCACCTGTGAGGATGCGAGGCTTTGGGGGACATTTAGACACAAGTCATAACAATGCCTCCTCAGCTTATAACCAAAATATCTCCCTTCTTCATTTAAAACTCAAGAGGAGATGCCAGAAGCCTGCCATTTTCAAGGAAAAACAGAGCTGAGAGGATGGCACCACAGTAGTCTTCACTACAAATTGAGGGTAGAAAGAAGTAGCCACAGGTGTCCACCAAAGGCCTAAAAGGTATTTTTAATAAGATCTCTCAGTTCCCAACAGCAGGCGCTCTACTGCTAAAAAAAGATGTATGAATGCAAGAGCAAATGCTCACATATACCTTCAAGTGAAGGCAACTATCTGAAGTAACTTTGGAGGTATGGCTGCAATTATTGGTCCTTATCACCACACACATTTCTAGCTGTCACAAGAATTTAGGATAAACAAAGTAAGATTTTAAAACAAAAGACATGATATACAACAAAATGCTAATGAATATTGGCAATAAATGAAAGTAGTAAAGGAAAGGTCAAATATGGTGGAAGGTAACCCAAATGAGATATGAGATGCTTGTGTCTTCCATAAACACTTGTGCTAGGTAAGAATTCAAGCACATGTACTTAATGGGAAAACACACACTTACAAAGGGTCAAAATGAATTTTAAAGTGAGATTATAAAAATATGACCATTCTAAGAATTAAAAATTTACTAAAAAAAAATATTAGGGATTCACAAACATGAAAGGACTTATGGAAAAATATTTTTTGAAAAAACACACTCAACAATGAAGCCCAACTCGTCACAGAAAGCAGGTAAAAGGAACAATCCCAGTAAAGAGGTAAGAAATAAAATAACCACATAAAATAGTAATAAAGGTTACTTTTTCTAATCTTTATATATTTTCTGTTTTTTTCCTTATTGTATTGGCTTAATGCAACTGTCAGAGGTTTTTCACTTTTATCTTTGTGAAAAATTTGTTGGACTCTCTTGGTTGATCAATAATAAAAGTACAATTCATGGTTGGGTCAAAGTTCGAGTGCTGAATAAGAAAAACCCAGGAAGAGGTGTGGACATCAAAACAATTTAAATGAACAACTCATGCCAAAGTCAAAGTAATTTTACACTGGAAGAAAAACAGATCCATAAAAGGTAAAAGGGAAGAAGAAATAAGAAAGGCTGAATGTCTGGCATACGGATCTAAACATAGGTAAGCTCCGTAAACATTTTGTCTTTTTTCTTTTACTCTTAAACATTTTAAGACTTTATTTGTTTAATTCTGAAATACAGAAATTTTTATCTACTTTTTCTTACTAAATTCAATTAAAATCAAATACTTTTATTCTTGATAGTAAGTGTATTTATTGTAAAACCGTGCTGTTTTCCCCATCTTCATCCACCCAGCTGCCTCTGTCTCACCAGTGTCCACCACTTGCTTCTATCAATAGGCATGCACAGAAACATAGCTAAATATTTGATCAGTACTGAATGGGAGGGCCCATGTGTTTTCACCTTTGCTGAAACTGTTGTATATCACTTCATTGTTAAAAGTAAAAATACTAGATTTCCACTTCTGGTCAAAATGGAATAAACACTTTTCTCTTAAGTACAGATTTTAATAATTCCCTGTTAGATTTAAAACAGACAACCGTGAAAGTTTCTACCTTCAGCCAGGCAGAGCGGGAGAAGCCAGGCCTCGACCCTCACCTTGGCACATGCCTCTTCCCCAGCCTGGACCCAGCATCACCTGAAGCAAGGATTTTAGGGCAGCCAACACAAAAGGTCTACTGAGCAATTACATAAATGCTGGAACTGAATGAAAAATGAGAAAGTCTCAGCAGAAAAAAATAAAACATATAAATAAAGATCAAATGAAAATTAAATAGTGTAAATTAAAACAACAAAAATAATTTTCACTGGTTGATAGTAAGTTGAAATAACCATTAGATAGGCTCCATAATAGAATGGAGAAGGCAGAGGACAAGGTCAATGAAACTCAACTAAAATGAAAATAACCCTGGAGAACAGAGGAAAAACAAAATGGAAAAATAGGTTTTTAGGGTCCCTGGGGGTTGTATCATAGTGTATAAATCAGAACATCAGAAAATTAAAAGAGCTGAAATCATCCAGATAATATAATGAAATATGGTCATTAAAATAATACTGATAAATATAATGAACAAAATGTATTATTGAAATTACTGCAACTAAAGCTTTGAAATACTACAGAAGAGGAAATTTATGAGATAAGAATCTGTCAAGACACTTCAGTCTGCAAATTCTGTTCATGAAATTCACAAGAAGCAGACTGTACCTAGAAAATCCTGTACCTAGAAAATTATAAAAAAGAAAACATATATATATATATATATGAGAGAGACAGACAGACAGACAGAGACAAAGAGGAGAGAGAGAGACAGACAGACAGACAGAGACAAAGAGGAGAGACAGGGATCCAGCAACTCAAAAGAGTAATGGAAAAAAAATACCAAACCAAAGTTGTCAATTACAAGGTATGCAGGCAGGGAACAAAAAGACAGAGAAAATATGAAAAGCAAAAAAAAAAAAAAAAAAAAAAACCCGGACAGAATTGCAGCACAAAATGCCACACACGCCCCACCCAGCAGGTTACTTCAGGTGTTAAGTTTCCCAAGTAATATTTTTGGTTACAGTTCCTGTTACTTCTGTTTCTTAGAAACAGATGGTCACTGGTGCATAGCTGGTCACTATGGTGCAGAGTGTAAAAACAAATCATAGGCAGCCAAGTATTTAGCCACTGTACTGCCCTCTGCAGATCCCACAGAAGCCTCCTTCCCTAAGATTTCAGGGTCTGATATTTTTGGAATGATCTTGGTGAGTACCTGTTGACATAAAATAAGTCTGCTTCCAAATCCTGGGTATCCTTTTGGTGTTTCTGCTTGCCATTGAAGAATAAAAATTAGATGAATCTAAAACTTAAAAAAAGTAAGAGAAAGTGGTAAAAATGCAAGACATACATATTTGAAGAATTCAAGATTGCTTCAATTTTAGGATGTCCATTTGCATGAGACATTTGATTCTCATTATTCATCAATTCCATGATTAAAACTCACCTACTTGCTAAAATTTATTTGCAACCCTAAACACAATACAGTACTTTCACCATTACTCCCAGACATACACAGCTGCAAAAATTTGTTTCTTCAGGCTTTGTAGTCTCATTTTAGACTTCTCACTTAAACAAATGCCATTTTTACGGTCTGTTTTGTGTCTTTTCCAGATTGTGTTTTGTATTGATTTCATTGTTTAATATAGCTTCCAAGTGTAGTAAAGTGCTGACTAGTGCACTTAAGCACAAAACAACTTGAAGTGCCTCCCATGTGTTGGATAGCTTCTTTCAGACACTAATTACAGTCCTATGGGCCTGAGTTCAATGTTAATGAATAAGAAGTACATTTGTAAGTTGCTTTTAGTTAGAAACATGCATCACTCAAAGGTATATATTGACTAGTTGATTAAAAACCTTTGATTAGAGGCTAATAGGACCCTGACACTTTTAAGTCAGTGCTCATTGCAACTTCATAGACCGTAACTATGATGAGTGAGAATGCACTTCCCTTTTCTAAAAAAGAAAGATCAGCCAACCTTCAGTAATTCTTATAGCATTTCAGGAACAAAATAAAAAAACAACACGAAAAAAATCAATTCATGGGGCTGGGGATTTAGCTCAGCGGCATAAGCTCCTGCCTTGCAAGCAGGCAGTCGTGAGTTCAATCCTTGGTACCAATAAAAAGGAAAAAGACAAAAAAACATCAGTTCACTAGTACCTGGGTCATGGCCTTCTCCTCTGGTGGAACTGCAAAGAAGCAGAAGTAGTAGAGAAGAAAGAAACATTAGTGACCAGGCTATCTCAGGACAGCCAGTCCGGGTTTCCAAAATGAAATGAGCATTTCAATCTGTTGAGTCCATTACCTCCCACCACCTGAGGCTTATTTTTCCTCACTTCCCCATCATAAAAGGCCTTTTGTACCTTTCCTACCCAACTTCTTCAGTAACTTTGCTCTTTTGACTCAAGTGTTTGAATTAAGCTGTGATTGTCTCTTTCTGAGTGTGCTGGCTCCTTCCAAACTACTTCCTGGACCAGAAAGTCTATGACAAGTGCAGATACAGGAGTTCAGTCTTTTTCAAACTCTATATCTCCTGTGTTTTGATCCAAGAGGGCTCAACTGAGAGGTACTTCATTTCAGAATGTATTTCCAAACTTCCTTCTCTTCCACTTAGCATCTGAATTTTGCCTACATGTGCCAAGAAAATGCCATTTTTGGAAGATGTTCACTGGGAACAAAATTCACTATTTACTTCTAAATGAGGAGCAATTACTCTATAAAACGTCACTGCTCTGGCAGATATCTGTCTAGAAAAGTAATGGTCTGCCGCTTGGAGAGAATGGTCTTGGCAAGAAGTCTCCACAGACTGCCCACAGGCAGACATTAGAACGAGTAGCTGTAAAAGGCAGTTTAAGAACATGAAGTTCAATAGGATAAACTCCGGTCTCTAGCAGTGCAAGACTAGAGTCACAAAGTTGGGGAAGCAAAATTGCCCTCCTAATAATCTTACTTAGCGCAATGGTTTAAACTTAAGAGTTTAGTTTGTCTTTCTCCTTAACATTTTTAACTGTGTTGGCGCAGAACTGTCAAATTTCAGTACCTGGGACTGGCTCGCAGGTAGGGGAAAGGGCAAAGAACAACCGGAAGGAGAACTACAGGAAGAAATACACAGAATTACAGGAAGGAGCGCTGGAGGAGCAATGCGCATGCGCACTCGCCTCCCGACCCCATTAAAAAAAGCGTCTCTCGGTAATGACACGCACAGGGTCGCCCTACTGTTCCCTTCTTACAGCCCGTTCCACACCACAATTTCCTTCACCTCCCGAGCACACGGGGTCTCCAACTTGTAGGACATGGCCAGTACAGAGCACGAAGCAGCCCAAATCACCTTTTCTGACCCTCGGCCGCTTCTCAGGGTTTTCAGAGTGACCGGGAGCGCAGTATGGACTACAAGTCCCACAATGCTCTGGGCGTATTTCCTCTTCCGCCCGAGCGAGCGGCGTTTCAACGCTGTGCAGCGCTGGTGCGCTCCGGGTTATAGTGGTGAGATCATTTTGTTTTACCGTTTTTTTTTTTTTTTAGAAGAGGAAAAAGCGGTGCTTTTGTTTAAATATGCACTTCTAAATGTTTGAGTACAGTTAAAGTGTACCTTTATGTTCCTTTTATTTGTTAACATACTTTAAAATGCTTTTTTTTTTTACAACGTCTCCATAACAGTTGCTTCCTGGACACACTTAAATGTCTTCATTTCAGTTATTTTTACTATGTATCTTAAAAGCACAAAATCTTCCAACTTGAACTGTTTAGCATTCTGTTTAATTCGCTTTTGTTGCTGATTGGCATTGTAGTTCTTTCATTGAAAGGATAGGTTCCAAGACTCCACTACTGAAAAAGTTAAACCACTATAATACTGAAGTTTACATACAATTCCTAAGTTAATTAGATACAGAAAAATAATATGAAAAAAGAAGACATGTTTGATTCTAACTCTACTTATACTGCAGGTGTATTTTAACTTTAAATTAGAAAAACAAAACCCCAGCAGAATTGTATTGTCAAAGGACTGAAAAAGAAATACAAAACTTATTTACCCAACAAATGTGTTCTGAAAAACTGATGGCAACTTAGAGACATTTTATAAAATAGATAATAGATTTCCTGGGCAATGTGGCAAGATTCTGTGTCAAAAAAAAAAAAATTAGACTTGGAGATACAGCTCATGCTAATACTTTGGGTTCAATTCCTCATGCTGAAAAAAGAAAGGGGGTTGATAAGGAAGGAAGGAAAGTGAAAAAAAAAGAAAGGGGAAAAATAAAAATATATTATGGAAACAGGTAAAGACTATTAAAACATGTCACTCATATCAGATAGCAGACATATATCAAAAGAAACCTAAAAACATAAAAGAGTAATAAAAGTGAAATGTGGGGCTGTTATCCATGAGAGAGAATTATGTGAAAGAATACCCCTGCCTTATCTACGGGCATACTAAAGAATGTATCCTAGAGGATGGAATACAGGGAAATTAAAAGTCTATACAATCTGAAGTGTCAGGCTTCAACATGTATTGTTTTGGGAAAAGGAAGAGGAATTCTTTGGAAACTGTGCAGTGAAAGAGTTTTTGGTGCTATAAAAGAAAAGAATATAACATAAAAATAGCCTTTATTCCAAGGATATAGAGAGGAGTCCATGACCATAGATGGTCTAGCCACCTCTGATCTGAACCTGGGGTAGGGGATATATATGTATATATATACATATAACCCCTGACGGGGGTGGCACTTAGGGTGGGCATTGATGACGTGCAAGGAGCTGATTGGAGTTTCCTTCACATGAAAACGGGAAGGGGCGGTGCAACTAAGGCTGAGGAAGAAGCAGGAAGTGGTAGGAGTTCCCGCTTTGGCCTTCTGCCCGTTAGACCACCGCCACAGCTGTACAGTAACTTATATTAGGGCAAAAACCTTTCATTCTCACCTTTGTATTGTTAGGAAAAGGCAGAAGTCTCTCTATTATTTGCTACTGAAAGGAGGCACCATATAGAGGTTCAGGAAGGTTGACGGGATGATGACTGCCCATGCAGAAACTAATACCAGTTGTTTCAGCCAGGAAAACTTTATCATTGGTGAATGCCTGCATGTTAGACTCGAAAAACAAAGAGACAAGGTGCTACGAGGATGCAGACCACTATCATTTTTAAGGACCCAGGAGAGGTAAAAGGAAAGGTGTCTTTGATTTAAATATACTATTCCATCAGGACCACAGTGAGATAGAATTCTAAAACATAGATGTGGGTTTAGGAAGACAGAAGTTATAAGAGGTAATTATTTCCCCCATCTTAAAGGGTAACCGTTAAAAGTAGGTAGGGCTTGTCTCTGGTCCAGGAGTTGAGCTGGAAAGAATAAGAGGCATAAGAAATATAAGGCCTGATTGAATCATATTTGGGAAATTACAGAGTTGAGGGGAGGGCCATGGCTGTGTCACTATAAGGGAGTTAAGAGTCTAAACCCACAGGGATCTCACATTTACCTAAACAGCTAAGGGTAGAGAGAACTAAGTCAGTTGTTACATAGAACAACACGTAGACAATCTTACGCATGATGTGGGAGTCTTTAGGAAAGACTGTAAAGAGTCCTGCTGTAAAAAAGATAATTAATAGAATGTAAGGAATTAGGAACCAAATTGGACAACAAAGCATGACTTAGTCTAAGAGTTGTGGCCGTGAGGCCTTGGTGAGACAAAGACTGGTGGGCGATAGAAGATGAGATGACCTCTCAGAATGTGTAGGGTCAGGGGAGTTAGGGTTAGGAGGGCACCGCTTAGCTTGAGTGATGTGGAACCAGGATGGCAGTCCAGTGACCTTGACCACCACTGAAGTTCTGAGGAAGACCAGGTAGGGGCCACTCCATTTTAGTTGTAGTCTTTGGGATGCTTTCCTATAAAGAGAAGTTTAGTAACTATATCAGCAGTCTCCCCAGTTGTGGGAAAGGCTTTCATCCATCCTTGAAAAGTGAGAAGATATTTGAGAGATTTGTGGCAGGGTATGTGTGTAAAATCTACTTGCAAGTGCTGACAAAATTGATGAATAGGAAAGGAAGGGGGTGTATGTGTCCCTGAGGAGAGGTTTTAGTATAGAGATGGCAGGTGTAAGTTTGGACCTCAGAGCATCTGGGTCAGTCTGCATAAACACAAAGGGATAAAACAGGCATTTTTAAGATCCGTGACTATGAAGTGAGTGGTGGAGGAAAGGATATGAAAGCATGGTAAAAGAGCTTGGTATTTGTCTTAGTTACTTTTTACTCGTTGCTGAGACAAAATACCTGAAGCCCAAGCTGGGAAAGGAAAGGTTTATTTCTTACAGTTTTTGGAGGTTTCAGTCCACACTCAGTTGGCTCCAAGGCAGGCGAGCATGGCTGGGCCACAGTTCATGGCGACTGCAAACAGCAAGCAGGAGCCAGCAAAGAGCAAGACACACCTTCTTCCTGCCATTACATCACATCCTGCTCCACCCCTATGTGGTTGTAGCACTGACACCATCAATCCAAGCACTATACAATGAGCTACTCACAGATGCATAATGTAAATGCATGAGGCCTGGGGCCACCCACATAAACCATGACAGTATCACTGGGTAGATTGGGGTAATGGCGTTGTTGATTACCCCAAGGTCCTGCACTAGATGAGAAGACCCATTAGATTTGAATACTGGGAAAACAGGAGTATTATAGGGTGAATGGATACCATTGTCTAAAAGGTGCTTGATTATAGATTTAAGACCCATAAATGCTTGTGAGCTATAGGTTATTGGGGAAAACAAGGAAATTGAAGGATCCCTGAGATGAATTAAAATAGGTGTGGCATGGGTAGTGCAGGTGGGATTGGAGGTTTCTCAAACTATGGGATCAACCAGAGAAGAAGGGAGGGGAGGGGTTGGCTTTGAGGAGCACTGTGACGGTGGCTGGAGGACTAGAGCTGTGGGGAGGGACAAGGTAAAGGAGAAATTCAGCTTTCGAAGGAGATCTCTACCTAAAAGGGGTGTGGGACATGTTGGAATCCTTAGGAAGCTATGGGTAAAGAAGAGAGTCTGGATTCTGCATCAAATAGGATAGGCCCTGTCTGCAGAGGCTGCATAGGATGGCCATCAACACCCACGACAGAGACTGAGGACTTAATACAAGGGCCTGAAAACTCAGGAAGAACTCTATACATGGCCTCTTTGTCCACAAGTACAGAGAATGTCTTACCTGAGACCTCCAGTGAGACTTAGGACTCGAGGATACCTTAATGGAGGGTTGTGGGCCCCGAGCCCCATCAGTCTTCAGCAGTAAGTCTGAGTAGATCAGTCAGCAATGAATCCAGTGGTGATGAGATCTCCTGTGAGGGCAAGGAGTTAGAGGATGGCTTATCCGCTCTCTGGCTGCTGCAACAGTCACTGTTTTGATGGCCCTTGAGGTTGTAATAGGGGCAAGGCCCCAGAGGGAACGCTAGGGTTTGGCACTCTCTTGCCCAATGTTCTTTGTTGGACTTGAAGCTGTTGGAGACCACTATGAAGCAGCTCTGAGCAGGATTTAAATTGTACTAATTGGCTTGCTATGTTTATCTGTGAATCTGTCCTGGGCCTTGGCCCCTTGCCTGGTGACGGGAACTGATTCCTAGTAAGTGAACCTCTATGAATTACTGGTCCTGGCTGAGGCCTGTAGTGGCCTGTGAGGCCAGAGACACCTCAAAGGGCAAGATAAGGCCACCGCTACAGACACTCTGGCTCCAACCCCAATTAACAAGGTAGAGACTGCAGCTGCAAAGATTACTCCTACAGTCTCACTTCTACCATGTCTTCATAATAAGACAGTGCTACTGCATTGACTAGATTCATGACTTGGAAACGTCCTTGAAGTGACTCCCAAGGTCCTGCTCATTGCCTGCACTTTCCTCAGTTTCTCCACCCTTTGTCCTTGATCCTAATGTAAGTAGACTGATCCAGAGAATCCTTTGTCTTTACCCTCGAAGCCTCGAGCTTAATTAAAGGGCTTTGACCCTCCTGGAGCCCTAATAATCATAAGGTTTGTCTCTTTTGTTTAACCTCCACCATACACTCATTTGGGAGATTGGGGATCTAGGACAGAATCCGATATGAAGCATGGTCTGGGAGGGGCTTGGGCAGCTCCACTTTGTCTCAGTTTACCTATCTCGGAGCTCCAAGTGTCACTGCTAAAAAATCGGATTGTTATTTTTCCTTTTGATTTTTATCTCTGTTGTTAAAAACACAAAAAGCCATATT